TATAATATAGTACAATATAGTCAAAAAATCCGACATAAAAAAAAAGATTGTATAAACAAAATATATTTAATAACTAATACAATTATTGGCTGAAAATTCTGACTTTAAAATGATACAGATTGAAAAAAATTCTTTATTTCTGATTCATTTGTTATTCCTAAACATATATTTTTTAGTCTTTTTTAATTTTTTTTTTTTTTTTTGTAAAAACTGTACCTTTTTGAATATTTAATAATTTAATATTTGCTAGGGAATTTGATATCTGGGAGTGCTTCAATGAAAATCCAAATATTTGGATGCTGAGTTCTCATCAAACTTTTAAATTTATTTTTAATTTCGATAAAGGGCATAGCGAAGGATACTTTTTATTTCGAATTCTTCTTAGTGATCTTTTGACCGATTTTTCTTCTGTTAATAAAATCATTGCTTCGTTTGATAAATTGGATGTTTCTACTGCGAAAAGTCTGGAAGGAGTATCAAAATGGTCTTGGGCTTTAGCATTCATATTCAACATGACTTTTGTTACTTCTACTTTTGCTGGAGATGGTGGATGGTTCTTGTGTTCAATATTTTTCAATAAATTTATAATCATTTGATCAGTTGTTACACTACCTTTACAATTTTTCTTTTTCTTTTCCACACACTCCCATCTAATTTTGTTATTGGCAAGATTTTTTTGTTTTGTATACATATAGTCTTTAAAAACAATTTTTAAACTTCCTCTGTCTGGTTTAAGAATTTGTATTTTATCCATGATCACAAAAAAATGTATGACAATAATTTTTATTTTAAAACGTACTCGTATATAACCACTATAACCACTAAACCACTACTAAACTGCATTGAACAGTTTTGATATAAAATTGACTCAATGCTCATGACGATGTAAGATTTTATCTTAATAGTCTTAGTAATTGACTGGGTTTTGGACAAAATTTTAGATTTTAATGTTACCCATCTAATTCAATATTAGTWTACTACTATTTTACTTTTATTTAAAATTATATTTAATCTAAAAAATATGTATTTTATATTCGAAGGTAAATAATTAAAAATTAAAAACGGAGGGGGGGAAATGTCCGCATTAAAAATATATCCGTGGTGGGGGGGGAATGTCCTACTACGCTGAAAACAATCGGAGGGGGGGAATGTCTGCCATTCCTATACGATATAGCAGCCTATATAGTTAATAAAGTATAAATTAAACATAATATTATGCTGTAAATTTAGCAGAACAATAAATAATGGAACATCTAATACATTTTTCAAAATAATTCCGAACAGTTGATACAGAATATATTTTTGAAAAGAATATTTATTTATTTAAGTCTCGGCATCTAAGGCCATTTATTGCAACAACTCAGTATATTAGTTATAAATATAATTAATATAATATGTATTGAAATACTTTAGTTCAAAAACTGTATAACACA